ATTTAAGATTATGTTAGCTGTTGGGTTTTCATAAATGGCTTTTACCAGATTGAAGTAGAGGTCATCTATTCCAGTTTTCTGTAGGACTTTGAACATGAATGAGTGTTGGACTTTGTCAAAAGCCTTTTCTGCATCAATGGGGATGATCATGTGGTTTTTAGTTTTCGCTCTGTTGATATAGTGTATTACATTGATAGATTTTCAAATATTGAACCATCCTTGCATCCTTGGGATGAATCCTACCTGGTCATGGTGTATGACCTTCTCGATGTTTTGCTGTATTCTGTTTGCTAGGATTTTATTGATGAGTTTTGTATATATGTTCATGAGTGAGATAAGCCTGTAGTTCTCTTTTTTTTGGTGCATCTTTCTCTGGTTTTGTTATCAGTATAATACTTTCCTCCAGGAATGATTTTGGGAGAACTGCTTCCTTTTCAATTTCCTTGAAGAGTATTGGTATTATAACTTTTTGTAAATTTCTTGTATAATTCAGCTCTGAGTCCATCAGGGCCTGGACTTCCCTTCATTGTCAGGCTTTTTGTTACATTTCGTATTTCATTGGCTGTTATTGAGTTATTGAGAGATGTTATATCTTCATTCAGTTTTGGTAATTTGTACCTTTCTAGACACCTGTCCATTGCTTCTGTGTCTTCTATTGTGTGAGAGTAAAGGTTCTCAAAGTAGGTATTGACAACCTTCTGAATTTCCACTGGGTCTGTGGTAGTTACCCCCTTTTCATTCCTTATTGCTTGTATTTGAATTGTTTCTTTCCTCTTTTTGATGAGGTTAGCTAGGTGCTTATCGATTTTATTTAGTCTTTCAAAGAACCAGCTTTTTGTGTCATTAATTCTTTGGACTGTTTTCTTCATCTCAAAGAATTAATTTCTACTCTAATCTTTATGATTTCTTCCCATCTTTGGGCTCTGGGTTTGGCTTACTCTTCCTTTTCTAGATATTGGAGGTGCATCATTAGGGTGTTTATTTGTTCCCATTCTGTTTTCCCAATGTGTGAGGTCACAGCTATGAATTTCCCTCTGAGAACTGCATTCATTGCATCCCAAAATTTCTGATAATTTGTGGTTGAATTTTCATTGAATTGTAGATTTTGTTGAATTTCTTCTGTGACTCTTTGGTTGCTGAGTAGGGTGTTGTTTAATTTCCACGTATTTATGGTTTTTTTCTGTTTTCTTGTCTGATTTATTTCCAGTTTCATTGCATTGTCATCAAGTAATATACATGGGATGATTTCTGTTTTCTTCCATATTCTTCAGAATGACCTATGAAGCAGTACTTGGTGAAAGTGACCCATGTGTAGCTGAGAAAAATGTATATTCACCTGTTGTTGTGTGGAACATTCTGTATATGTCCACTAAGTCCATTTGTTTCAAGCTCTGGTTCAGTTCTGCTACTTGTTTGTTAATTTTTTTGTCTGGTTCACCTATCTTTTTGAGATAAGGGGTATTAGGGTCTCCTATTAAGATTGTGGTATTGAATATTAGACTTTTCATGTCCATTATGATTTGTCTTATATAGTTGTTTGCTCCCATATTTGTTGCGTGTTCATTCATGAGTGTTACCTATTCCTCTTGAATTTGTCCCCTAACCAGTATGTAGTGGCCTTCTTTATTTTGTTTGATCATTCTTAGTTTGAAATTGAAACTGTCTGAGAATAAGATTGCTACCCCTGCTTTTTTCTGATGTGCTAAATTGTGCAGTATTGTTTTCCATCCTTTCACTTTTAGCCTATGAATTTCTTTTTGAATTAAGTGTGTTTCTTGTATACAGCATATTGTTGGATTTTGTTTCCTAATCCACTGTGCCAGTCTATTTCTCTTAATTGGCGAATTGAGTCCATTTAAACTGATGGTTATAATGGAGATGTATTGATTTACAATCGACATGTTATTTACATGTTGTTGTTTATTCCTTTTTCACCTGTGTTTAAGTGTTTGCTCTATTTAGTGGATTGTTCTGTTCTCGTTCATGAAGTTCTCATTATTTTGGTCCCTCTCTAGAACATCTTTCAGTCACCTGTGTAGGCTTGGCTTTGTCATCATGAAGTTCCTTAGTTGTTCTTTCATGAAAGTATTTTACTTCTCCATCAAACTTGAAAGTGAGTTTTTCAGGGTATAGTAATCTGGGCTGGAATTTGTTTTCATAGAGGACTTGAAGTACTCTGCTCCATGCTCTTCTTGCCTTCATGGTTTGTGAAGAGAATTCTGCCATTATTCTGCTGGGTTTTCCTTTGAATGTGATCTGCTTCTTTTCTCTAGTGGCTTTCAGTAGATTATTCTTGTGATGGATTTCTGGGCTCTTGACTATTATGTTTCGGTGTGTTTTTAATTGGGTTGACGTTATTTGGCATTCTGTATGCTTCAGTTACCTGAATGTCAGATTGTTTCCTCATATTTTCTGCTATTACTTCTGCCCATATTCTTTTTATATCATTTGTATTGGCTCCTTATTTCTCATTGATGCCCGTTAGTCTCATGTTGCTCATCTTTGCATTGTCTTGCAGGTGATGAATTATTTTTTTCTTACATCCTAGTTGTTTTTAAGAGATCTTTTCTTATCTTTTCACTAGCTGCACCAGCATCTTCAAGATCTGAAGCTCTGTCTTCACTTTCAGTGAAACGGTTTTGCAAGCTTGTGATTGAGATTTTAAGTTCCTCTATCTCTGTTTAACTCTGCTTCATGCAATCTATTTCTTTCCTGTATTGCTCATTCAAAGAATCTGTTACTTTTCTTATCTCCTCTATTTTTTATCAATGTCTTCTTTAGAATCAGTTATTAATTCTTTTACTAGAGAGATTTTTTTTCAGATTAAGTTTCCTCCATATGTTTCTGCATTTGATTATTCAGATGTTATCAATTCAGAGATTTCTTTTTCTGTTTTAGTGATTAATTCTGACCTGAGTTCTTCTATATGTTTCTGCTGTTGTTTCTTTATTTCAGTCGCTATTAATTCATACATTTCAGCTGAGCTGGTGTCCTCTGCACTTGTTCTGGGTGGGCTGGAGGCCTGAGATTGCATTTTGCTCCTTCTCTTTGTCATTTCATATAGCACTGACCTCTGACCTTTGGTATAGTGCTTTGGTACAGTTATAATCTTAGCACTTGCTGAAATTCTGGTGCAGATCTATTAAGTTTGAGTTTATCCAGTTGTGTCTGGCTTGGGTTTACCTGTTGTGCTCAGCTCCTTCCTGCTGCAGCCCTTGGAAGTGAGCCTGTTGTGCCCGTCTGTTGTGTTCCTCACTCTGGGCACAGCGGAGTGAAGAAGCTCCTTCACACACTAGCTGGGCCTGGTCTTGGGCTGGTTCTGAGAGCACAGCAGAAGTTCTCACTCACTTGGTGGGTTTGGGAGATGGACTCTGGAGGGGTGGAGGGGTCCCAAGAGTGCGGCAGAGGATCTCACGCGGCATGCCTGAGTTTTGCTCTGCAGAGGTCTTGTGCATGGGCACTTGGGAACCGGAAGCTCTCCCACCACAAAATATTTTCTATTGAAGAATAAGGCCTTTTTCTCCAGAAGTATTCTTCCTTAAAAGTCTTTATGGTCAATATTTTTTTTTTTTAAATGTTTTTAGCACAGGGTCGACAGGGTTTATAGGGTCTCACTACACAGATCAGACTCATAGCTATGCTCCTGTTTTCAGTCTCCCAAGCACTGGGATTATAGGTGTGCACAATCAAACCCCATTTCAGTCACCGTCTGAGCGTGTCCCTGGGGGCGGAGCTGATGCAGCACACTGAAGATCGTGGCCTGGTCCCTGCGCCTGCCTAAGCAGGTGCTTTAGTCCGCTGAGCTGTGTGGCTGGCTCTCTGGTCAGCAAATTTAATCCATGTAAAAATGCAAAGGAACAAGGCAGTGAGAAAATGATCTAAATGTTAATTTTGGTAACATCTGAAAAGTTCCACATTCTCCAAAATGACTGTATATTTAACTATGAAATCAAATCAAACAAATCTGTGTTTCTCTTTCAATATGTATGATTTTGTATAATCTTTACCCTATTCAGCAACCTAGCTACTCCTAGAAGATTAACCTCGAAATGCTAATGGTAGAAATCACATAAAATTAGGCCTGTGGATTTTTTTTGTTGGGGTCCTCAAATTTTCTGTATGTTCAATGAAAAATGATATATTATTGCAATAATAAAATTCAATTAAAAATCTAAGTATCAGTTTTAGGGATTGATGTCTTATTCATATGTATTGTTTTGATAAAAAAATAACTTGTGATAGCTGCTCATTAAGCACATACCCTAAAAAAATTTGTGGCTCAAGTATATACATTATTCTTTCAGCCCCAAGTAGTCATGGCTTTCTTGTAACTGACACCCAGGCCTCCTCCGACTTAGGAATCAAGGTTGTTTTTCTGCTGGGCCCCTGGATAACTCCTGGGGTCAGGGAGACCCTTTTCCCTGTGTGCTGCTAGCTTTTTTGCTAACTCCTGGACTTTAAGTTGACGACTGCCATAGCAGTGAGAAAAACAGTCTGATTACCTCCATACACACAGGAGTTCCTATACGTGGAGCATGGAGAATGGGGTGCAGGAGAGTGAGGCCGCTGGGCACCCTCAGCTGACAGAGCGAGGGGCTTGGGCAGTCAGGGAGGAGAGGCCAGGAGGCTGGCGGGATGAGGGTCTCAGGTGGCCCGGGAGCTTTGCACCCTGTACAGGGGCATCTTTCCAAATGGAAGTTGGCTTCCACTTGAAGAGGCACACACTGGGTTCTGCTTTTAGGCCATTAGAGAGAGGTCAACCATTCTCCTTTGTCTGCTGATTTCTGGTTGTCTTAAGGTCAGAGTGGCCCATGGATCAAAGGTGCATGCCTGGGGTGGCACCCACTGGTGCCCTCGCTTCCCTCAGGTAGGGTGTGTTCGTGGGGCTGAGATGAATGGAGGGAAGGCCGTGAGGCAGACTTGCTGTGCAGGAGCCCAGTGAAGAGGCGGGTCATGCCACCACAAGCCCGCCTCCACCCTCTGTGTCTTTGCAGGGCTACTGTGGGTCTGACTTCCGCCAGCCAGGTGGGCCTCGTCATCGGCTACTGTCCGCAGCAGGATGCCCTGGACGAGCTCCTGACCGCATGGGAGCACCTCCATTACTACTGCAGCCTCCGCGGGCTCCCGAGAGAGCACATCCCCGAGGTAGGCAGCCGCTGTGTTCCGGAGGAAGAATGAGTGTGTGAGCGAATGAACCCGCTGAGGGGCCTGGCGACTCCAAGCCCTCCTTCCCGCGGTAAGGAGGAGGAGCCGTGGGATCACGGAAAGTCGTTAGCAGGGCACGTCCTGTGAGGCTACACGGAAGGAAATGCTGAAGCACGGCCCCCATTTCTAGCATATACTCTGTATGCAAACTGCATCTGGTAAGGAAATCACCGGGCAGGGGTTACATGAGCAACATCTGTAACTTTGTATCCCTCTTTCCTCCCCACCCTCCCGCCTTCCTTTATCCTTATCATCACCTGGGCATCTCCAGGACATGCGTAGAGAGAACCAGGCAGAAGCATCTGTGGAGTTGGGGGTTCCCGGGGTGGATGAATTTCCAGCTGACAGATTCCCTCCAGAGACTCCTCAGGGTGTCTGGGAAGAACAGGGCGGGGGAGGTATGAACTGCAGCACTCCCCTCCCCTCATCACTGTCCAAGAGAGGGGAAGGAGAGGCGGCAGGCCAGAGAGAGGGAGCGGGCCCACTTCTGACGCAGCTGGAGAGCCATGTGGATGCCCCAGCAGTCGTACTTGCTTCATACCTTCTTTGGGCAAAGTACATCTTGTACCTTTGCTGCACCTCATCCTAGAGTCTGGGGTGCTCCGTGGATGTTGGGCTTTGAAACTAGGGCCAGAACAAAGCAGTGTACGTGACAGCTTTTCAGCAAGTGACTGCAGGAGCTGGGGCCTCCTGGGCCCCACAGCAGGTGTAACTCATGGCTGTAGCCCTGAGCATCCCAGGAAGATGCAATCCTGGGTGCTGATCTTGCAGGGCCGCCGCCTCCTCTTTCTAAGCATTCTCCATGCTCCAAATGCACCCGGAGCAGATTCCCCTGCCTCCCTGAGGAGACCCCGGAGCTCTGCCTTAGCAGCACAAAGGGAGCTGACCTGCTGAGGGAGCTGCGTGCCGCTGCTCCTTGGCTCTTGGGATCCACACTCACGGTTGGCTCTGCCTTTAGTAGGCGTTTCTCCAGTCATCTCATCCTTGTTAGGCTTTGATTGAAGAAAGGCTGCTGGCAGACACAGTGAGTGGGTCCTTTTGTCTTCTGTCCGAACGTGACCCTGGGGCAGCTCCCTGTGTGGCAGGCCTTGGGGGAGGGTCTCTGGCCTTGTTTTCCTGAACTGCTCCACTGAGATGTTATTGTAATGGCCACCAGCTAGGAAGTGGCTTCCTCCCTCTCATAAAATGGTACCTGCCTGGCAGGCAGGGGTGCTGCCCACTGTCCCTGGGGTGTCTCAGGGACCAATAGCCCCATCCGTCTGATCCCGAAAGTGACAATAGCTCCCTTCCTGGAAAATTCCCACCCCTTGTAAAAGATGGGAATATTTGCCAGGTAGAGTAGGGGTCTGTGTTCCAGTGAGCCTATCACAAGGTGAGCAGCAGGGACAAGGACAGAATAATGAAAGTGGTCGGCTCGGCAGATGATGCGGTGAGGTCACCCAGCATGTGGGAAAGTGGTCCCGTGAGGCTGCCCGGGGCTGCTCCCCGAGCATCGCGGATGCCACCACGGTGTGCTAGCTCAGCTCGCCACGGTGTGTCATGGGCAGTGCTGGAGGGAACAGCTCCTGCTGGCAGCCGCGTGGAAGTGTGGCACACGCCATGATGAGCACACAGCGCGCTTGGGAATGAGCGGCTGTATTACTGGCTTAGAGCTTTGTGTTGTTCTCATCATCACTTGAGAGTGTCACCTCTTCCTGTCGAAGCTATTCACTCTAAGGCCAGGCACCAAGGGACAGCAGCAGAATCATCAAGCATTCTAACATCCTGTGCTCACCATGTCCCTCTGATGACATCCAGAGCCAGGTGAGGGCCTGCCCTGTGCCATCTGGGACCATGTGACAAAACCCAGTAGCGGCCGCCACCTTCTGAAAGCGTTGATTCTGAACACATGTGTGGCTGCAACCGTCTTACAGCTATCCTAGGGAACAGATAAGAGGCTTATTCTTCACTTTACAACTGGAGAAACTGAGGCACAAGATGGTTCAATGACTGACTCATCCAGTGGCTCTTGCACAGTAAAGATGGGTGTCGCCTCCAGCCAAGTCAGGTCCAGAGTGCATGTTCCTGATAGAGAGACCACCTGACATTTGGGGTGCTCGGACCCCTGGGCTTTAAGGTGACATGCACGGGAGAGCAGCCGTGTGGCCTTGCTGCATGGCTCGCCCACCCCTGAGCATGTTGTTATGGTTTGTGTCTAGGTGTCCCCCCAAAGCCTCATGCAGTCTTGGGGCAGCTGCTGGAGTTTGTGATTGATCACTGTGGGTGTGGATGCTGCCTGCCCTGGGCCAGGTAATCTGCATTACAATGTAAGGTGGGAAGAGAAGCTAGCTGCTTGAGCTGCTGCTACCCCTCCCTTGCGCTTTTTTTTTTTTATCATTACTATTTTATTTTATTTTTTTTTCAACAAATAATACACTGCATATATTCTTCTTAGTGGTTAATTGCTGTACAAGATGCGGACTTGTGATCCTATTTACAAACA